AAAACTGGTTCAGGGCGTCTTAACATGCTTTCTGAGCTGGATATCCAACCAACTAGGCAAATGCATGCGATATCCGTACATTACGGACTACTCACCGTCTTTTGTTGATTATCACAACAAACGAAAGGAATATGAACTTGATATAATATGAGGCCGAGGTATAATAGTGAAGGTCACCACTGTCTTAAATCATCTGATACGTATTTTCCTCCGCTAACTTAACGATAACAGAGTACTAAATTAAGTACAACGCTGTCGACGAAAAAATGTCTTAATGGCCCCCTCTTTCTCCTGCTACCGTTAGGCTTTCATGTTCTTGATTTCTTCATGGTTTTAAATCGATCTAATAAGTGGTTCGGAACTCTAGGTATTCAGATAGTGTGTTCTATTGGAATAATACAAGCGAATAAGTGCAATCTAACGCACCATTGAAGGCTGCTAGCTACTAGTAACGTCGGACTGGGTTGGGTCGGTCTTGTGCATCACAAATTCATCTTGAACGGTCTGGCCCGAGCTCAAAATATACTCCCATACCAGCGTCGTGCGATTCGCCTTCAACATCGAGTACCCAAAATGTTCATAGTCCGACACGGCGTTCCACGACGCAGTGTGCGTCGGTGAGAAGGATAGTCCCTCGGACTGACCAGCTCCACCCGTTAGGATATGTACCGGGGCTTGAGGGTTGTCGTACACCTTGTAGTCTTTAGAAACGCCGTCCAGTATAGCCTTGTTATTCGCGATCGGCAAATGCCGTTCATAGTAGTGCTTGTGGCCTGTCAGCACCACGTCAACCTTGTATTTGAGTAATAGATCTTCAAATGCTGCCTGAATCTTTGCAGTGTGGTCGATGGGAACGTCGTTTTCAGAATTGAGGACGCTATAGATCGGACGGTGCATGCCAACGAAAATCCACGGTACATTCGCTCGGTTGGCTTCTGCCTTCTTGAGATCTGCTTCGATCCAACTCAATTGGTCGCCAAATTTACCATTATCGGTCCATGCAGTAAATACGTTCGCTGGTGCATCTGGATAATCGGACTCTGACGATACCGAAGTAAAGTGAATTGGACCATGGTCAAAGGAATGCCACATGTTCAATGTCCCACCACTCTCCTCGTATGGCATTTTGAACCGTGTGTTATACGCCGTATAGTTTCCCAACGCTTTGCTCTTCGTGCGAGAGGCTTGACACCTCGGTGAGTGGCATTCGGCCTCGTGGTTCCCAACCAAAACCATGTACGGGACACTACTCATCAGAGGCATCAACGAGTTCATCCACTTGTTGTAAACTTCTTCATAGAAGAAACCAGCAGCTTGTTTCACCTCCAAGAAGTCGTTGTCAGCGTACGAGATGTCGCCGATATGGTAGAGAAGATCGATGTCATCGGACGTCAGCTTGTTGACGGCAGCGATGGTATCAACCGAGTTCTCGCCGTCCCCGAGATCGCCGTAGATCAACACGTTGAAAGAACTATCGTCCGTTGCAGGTCGTGCTGTGATGAATGAACTTACATCGCTTGTGTACTTCTCGTCGCCTCTGCTGCCGACCTTGTAGAAATATTTAGTACGCGGTTTAAGACCTGTAATCGTCGCGTGGTGGTGGAACAAATTGTACTCATCGTCGCTGTAGTAGCTATCACTAGATACAGGTGTATCGACCAATTCCAGCGAATCCTCTGAGCTCCCGACCCAGACGGAACTATCGCTCACGTCCTCGAATGTTGCCCACGACACTGTCATAGCCGTGCCGACTTTCGCTCCTGCGAACGCCAAGTGAATCTGTTGCGGGTAAAAGTTCACACCGTCTTTGACACGACAGGACTGGT